CCAAGGTTAGACTGGCCCCCCAGTGGCACAGCGGTATGCCTGCGGACTTACAACACTAGAATTCGGGTTTCAATACCCGTGGTGGACAGAGCACAGATAGCCCATTGTGTAGCTTTCTGCTTAATTACAAATAAACAAACCAAGGTTAGACCAAACATTTAATCACCTGATTTTCAGAACAAGAGAGAAAGGTCTGTTTGTTCTAGTATTTGGGAGGACAAGTGCAGTGTTTTTTTTAGAAGAATGAAGAAGGCAATTCAGTGTGAAAAGCCAACATTGGCTAATCATCTTACGGTTGGGAAGGGGCTGTCATGTTTAAAGACTAAAATAAAAATTTCGAACTAAGAAAAATACAATAATAAACTATATTTAATAAAATTAAAATTGAATTTGAAAAAAAAAAACTGAAATCTGGTGGCAGTGTTATATACATATATAAATATACACATAATCAGCAGGCTTAAAAGAAAACATTTACAAAAAATAAACGGGGCTGAGACTTCTGCAACAGATCTTTCTAGACAAAAATGAATTGGTATGAAAAAAAGTATAATTGCTATCATAACCAACATTCTCTGTAATTGACCAATCACAAGTACTTGGAGGCATATCTGCTCCATGTGACAGCTGTAAAAGTATCTCGCGTACCCAAAGTAATGAACGATACAATAAAACTATCCTTTGAAACATGTATTATAAAAATTAAAGCTAGAATTGATTAGCTTATGACTCGAACCAGATATAGTGTATTTCGAATTAGAACTCTGGAGAATTGTCAATATTTTGTTTGATATGAAATATATATATACTATAGGACAGTAAGGTATATAGTAGTTATTTTTGTAAATAAGATTGAGTGTGAATTTAATGCATATATAATTCATTATTTTGCAAAATACTTTGTAACAGAATAATTTAATAGATCTTATTTCAGCTACAGATTGTAACTCTTTTGCATGGTATTCCTGCTATTTTATAGACTTGTATAGATAGTGCCAAGATTACAACTATGTCTGTCGTATCCCAAACCGGCCTGATGATCCTCGGTATTCAGCTTTCAGCACTTGATATGGCACATAAGTGATTGAACTATTGTTACACATTCTGCTTTGCTTTCACTCATAAGTTTGGAGAATTTATTATGTTCAGTTGCTACGTATCGTATCGACTTGACAGGTATTATTCAGGGCTTGTCAGACAACCGGGGGCACTCAGAAACTTCTGTTTCTCTTCACCCCACTCGTGGAATTAAGTGTTATTCTAAGGTAAATTTGGAAATTAACTAAAGTGAATACATATTTTTAAATCAAACTTGAGTTCAAATGATGCGGTGTGAATGTGTAGCTCGTGGGAATGTTGATAAGCGTGTGTGGCGTGGATATATACTAAGCGTGACTAATTGGGAGCCTCGTGGCGACAGGGAAAGCCGTGAATACTAAAAGCTACACTTTTTTTTTTTTTGGAGGTCTTTCCGACCTTCTTCACAGCTTTCCTGGATGCTTTTGGCAGCATCTTGTAAAAGAAAGAAACGAAAATACAGTTGACTTACTTCAACAAGCACTTCAGTTGCTACATGTTGGTAATGACTTCTTATAATTCATTATGCAAACAGGTTGCTACTACTTTTATTCTTGCTTTATTACAGAGTTTTGAAATTACTTTGCAGATCCACTGTGACTTACCTGTGGAGACTTGCAAGAAATGGAACATCTCTCGCAATGAGGAGAAACAGTATAGTGAAGAAGTGTAAGCATTGTTTTTGTTATCTTCTTTAGGATTACACATATTGATTTTCATGGAGAGTTGAAATTCTGTATAGTTAAGGTTATTTACTATTTCTCACCAAGCGGTATGTCAATAGAACATTGTTAAACGTGCATGCCTGGGTCTTCCATACGCTTAGTAACACACTTGTAAAGTTGGTCAATCATCATAATTATACAGAATTAGATACAAAATAAATATCTGGACATAACTTTGAAGCCAAAAAAAAAATTTCCATCTTTTCTAGTTTTTATTTTATTTTACAGGCTTAGGGCTGTTTTGTAATAGGTTATATGTGTACTTCATATTGTCCAGCCTTTTCTTATTTTGATTGTTTTTCTAAAATCTTTTATATTTTGTTATAAAATTTCCTTGTAAACTTGTTGACAAGTTGTAAGATGATCAGTAGTTTTAAATTCTTCAGGGCAGTGTACCTCATCACATGTATATGTATAATTTGTTTGTTTACCACAGCTTTACGACCTTAGTGTAATTATTTAATTTCAGATGCACCATTGTGTTTATTTTATTTCATAATTTTAGCTTTACTGCCTTAGTCCAAAGATTTGAAATGCCAGATTCCAGGAACCGCTGGGATTCGCCTTTGTTTATTATCCATGAAGGAGAAAAACTTCCATTTCAAGAAATTACTGATGCCCTATTGACAAGAAAGGCTCCACCTCCTAACCAGTCTACACAGAGTGTAAGTTATAGTGGCTTTTAGAGTTTTTCTTTGTTGACATCTTGCAGTAAGTTTTTTTGTTTTTTTCTAATATCTAACGTATCCCACTATCACCATAGTTTCGAACATAGTTATAGATGATATCTCCCAGGCTTCACCTATTATTTCCTTTATTTTTAAAACTATTTTTTGATTGTTATTGCTTTCATATGACTTAGTAGTATATTTCTAAAGCAGGTGTAACTTGGTTTAATGTGTTGTAACAGTTGCATTTTATTCTATTTCACATTATTTAACGTACTAGTTTTCTTTTTCCAGCAACCACTCTCATCCACTAATTTTCTTTATGAACTCGACAAGCGAACTCAAGAAGTTGTACAGGTAACTTAGAATGTAACAGTTTGATTTTTTTCCCCCCTCAGTATATTAACTAATCTAGTGAATGTAGTCAGCCTAATTAAAATTGTTAACTCTACTGCAGTTTTATATGTTTTTTTAGTAGTAACAGTAATGTAACTACAACAGTTACTGTCGTAAGATACTAGTAAAGGAAGTCTCGTTAATTCATTCTTGTTTTAGAAAGGGTTATGGTTAAACTGGTCGAATGTTTTCTCACGTTTAGTCACTGACAAACCCTTATGCCTTGTTTACAATACATTTCATCAATACTAAAGAATGGTGTAAAAAAGAATGAAATACTAGGTTAACATACTTAATTTCTTTAAGTGCTCTTTTAAGGCTGGAATTCATTAATAGCATTAAAAAAAATGAAAAAAGAAATATATATATAAAAATATGTTCTACACTCTTGCAAAATGGATTTACTTTGCAGCATTTTGGCTTTAGGCCTACTTCAGGAAAACAAAAAACCAAGACTGTGGTCAATAATCCTCATCGAGAGATTTTGAAACTACAACCATGACATTTTAATGTGAACAATATATTGTATAATTGTGTGTATATATATATTATACTTTTTGTTTTAGACTTCACTAAAAATGTTTTATTTATTTGTATTTTGTTACGTATTATTGATTTGTCTTGTTCTGCACCCACATGTCCGTTTTATGTTCTAATTCCAACTGATTCTCCATCTTAGTCAGTTGTATTTTTTGTTTGCCTTAAGGCCGATACATTGCGAAATAAATCCATTTTATAAGAGTGCAGAAAGCATTTTGATCTACTTATTCGTTTTTAATTCTATTAATACTTAATTCCATTCAGTTGTATTTTATAATGAAATCAGATAGCCATTTTAAACTATGGAAACAAAGAACTATTTAAATTTGTATGATAAGCAATTTTGAAATGTAAAAATGTCACTTTTCTTATTTGTTTCAGGCAATACTAGAAGCTCAAAAGACATCTGTAATTGGAGATTTAGTGTCTGTCCCAGGAACTAAGGAAAAGATATCCTTTACTGATGCGAACATCATTGGTGTTCACTCTTACTACAGTTAGAAAGCTAATAAACCAAAAGTATCGGACTCCTCCATGTTGACACTAGGTTAACATCAGCAATACTGCTTTTCATATTAAGTCATTAATAACACAGTAAAAGAAAAAATACCGACTTATTCAGTTAAAGTTGTAAGTGAAAATTTTAAGAAATTATGGAAACTGAAGATTTAAAACATGGTAGTCAATTCAATGAAATTGATGAGCCCATACAAGCTTCCTGTCACTAATATATGGTTATGTTATACACCTGTAGAATGTCCTCAAGAGTTGAAGTTTTCAACTGATGTGTATGATTTTCAAGTCACGGTATTTATAACTATAAATTTCTAACTTACGTTAAGCTCCATGGTTATAAAGAGTCAGAAAAAAATGAAGTTCTTTGTAAGTTTTTACAGTCTTTTTTTTTTTAGCAAATACTGGGTACTGAGACACTGTAGTCGTAAAACTGACCTGACATTGTGTAATACCTCTGAAATGCCTCTCTGAAGTCACAAAATAAACTTGTGGACTGTGCACTTATAAATTTTTATTTCTTTAGCACTTGATATGAGAAGCAGCAAATTATTATAGTTTTAACTTAAAATGTACATGAATTGATGTCACTAATGGGTTATCATGGGTCCAGTAAACTGTTGTAGTTTCTTTTCTACACAAGAGGGAATCCTCAATAGAAACGGCACTTGAAATTCTTTTAGGCAGGATTAGAGTAAATTTGACTTCCTGAGTCCAAACTGTAACTAGATCTCAAATTGCATGTACCAGGTTCAATTTTATTATTCATCAGGATCTTTACAAGCCTACCTTCAAATTCCAATTCTTTTAGGCAGGATTAGAGTAAATTAATCTATGAGACCTCGGACATGGTCAAATACATCAATCAAAAGGGTTTGACCTCCCGAGTCCAAAACTCTAACTAGATGTCAAATTGATCAAGAGATGACAGAGCTATGAGCTAAAAGTTTGTACTTGAAAAACTCAGGGCCATTCTATGAACTTTTATGCCAAGTCTAATAATTGTTCCAATCACAAGGCATTTAGAAAAGTAAGATATTTGAAAACAAAATACTTTTTAACAAAATATTTTCTTTTTATGCAGTTTCAAAAATAAGAAATATTCATATAATTTTTAGTCCCCAAATGTAATAGGCCTAGTACATGAAATATTATGTGTGATTATTCTGCTTTGATGCCTAGTAATTTGTTAAGTATGCCCAACTTTGTAGGTGTTTTGGGGATAAGGGCTGCAAACACCAATAAGAGTAAGGATACCGAACTGATGACCTAAGGCAGATAAGAGTAGACACGGAGACTTTTGTTTTTTGGTTTGCCTGTCACTCATAATAAAGACTGTTTATTATTCATTGTAATTTTTATTGAAGCTTTTTAAAAACTTCTGGTAGAAGATATTACATAATAATTATCTATTATAGTTGTGAACTGAATAAAAGGCTTCCTTAACTTCTCTTAAGTCCAGTTAAGACGTAACCTAACGCTGGCAGAGCTCACAAGGTTCCGACGGTTGTTCCTCTCCTATACCAAGATGCACCCAGTAGATGACACTTCTAGAATTCCCAGCATGTTTGCACAGTATCTTAACAGCAGTATATAAACCATTTTTAGGTTTATGGATCTTAAAGTAAATAAACGTGTCAGATGTAAATACTGTATTTGTGGAATATTTATTACGTTTTAAACTTTACTTGCATATTTCAGAAGCAAAGAAACTGATATTCTTAATAAAAGTTGTCATTAATTATCTTTAAACTGAAGGCTTTCGATTGTCAACATGCAGTAATAAGTACCTAGTTATAAGAATCTTTGAAGATGTCAGTGATAAAGAACTGATGTACATTTTTAAAGATGTTTCTTTTCTCTGATGTCTGTAACAACAACAGATACCATGCAGTCTCATATGCACTTACATGCAATATCATGTAACACTGACAATGAAATGGCTTACTTCCGTTGTTACCAAACTAGAAGTAACAACTGATTACGTATAATATGTTATATGATTCTTACGGTACATGAGAATTTTGTGATATTAGGTTTTTGGTAAAAACATTAATGATCCATCACGACCATATATGAGTGCAGTGTCTGTATAAGGTATTATTCATTAGCAACTTTTAAATTTGTTTTTGTAAAAAAATAACATTTTATTTGCAAGTACAATACAAAAAAATGCGTAAGAGTTGAAAAAAATCTCTTAAAAGAACTGGACTTGTACTTAATCGCTTTTAAAAGATTTAGACTAATACTTATGGAATACATGAAAATAATAAGTTAAATGTAATTAACATTTCCTATTTTGCTTCTTAGGCTATGTCTGTTTAAATAAATATATAGTGATATATTTCTAATTGATTTTGACAGTCAGGTAATTGGGTAGTGAGAATATTGTAAAAAAGTAATTCAACTATATGTTATACGTATCTGTTTCCAAACCATCCTGATCTACTAATATTGATGTCTTCAAGTGGTTCACTTCCAGGTTTAGAATGCTAAACTTTGGGGTTCCATACTTGTGGCAGACATAGTGTAGACAGCCCATTTTGTAGCTTTCCACTGTGATTAACATTCATCAAACTTGAAATGATTATTTAATTACATTTCTTCAGTACCTGAAGGCTAACACAAATTCTACTTCTCAAGAGATGAATTTTTTATTGATAAATAAGGTTTGTGAGAAAATGTTTTTAACCAAATGTGCACAAGCTCAGTCTATTAGCCTAACCATGTATAAGGAATGTTGGCTTAATTCTGAAATTTACTATGTTTATCATCACAAAATGTGGCAAGCTTTCAGTAACATGTACATATAAAATGTGTTAAGGTATTTGTACTTGAGATATGTAGACCCGTGAATTGATGACATCACTTTAACTCGGAGTGCAAGGAGATGTTCGTGTAAAGAACAGAAATTCTTTTGTCCATTGTGTAGTTTGGGTGTTGCTTTTGCAGAACCTCCGATATGTGTGCGTGTACAGCTTTTTTTCAGTATACCTGTGTATGGTATCTGGTACTTACTTTCCTCTACCATGTGCTGTTACCAAATCAGCAGTGTAGAGATAACAAAAACATACCATGTTGGATGTCATTCTGTAAAATGTTGTGGCATCTCCATCCGTACACATGAGATTAATTCAAACATGATTCAATACTAATTATAATTAGCAATAGCTACTGTACACAGTGAGCAAATGTGATTTCCAAACCGATACTCTCCATTCTAGGAAAAGTTTTACAATTAAGTGTGACAAACTGTAACTGAATATTACATATCCAACCTTTAAGACTATTTTATTTTACTATCTCTCAATTATAGTATAATACTGACTGACAATATCGACTCTTGTCAACATGACACAGCGGTATGTCTGCGGACTTACTACGCTAGAATCCGGGTTTCGATACCCGTGGTGGGCAGAGCACAGATAGCCCATTGTGTAGCTTTGCGGTTAATTATAAACAAACAATTATCTTATTTCTCACAAAAATAACTCATTTGACAATCTTAACATTTATGAAAAATTTGAACTGAAGACTTACTTAATTTTGTTAATTATTTGTTAATGTGCTGTTTGCAATAATAAATCAGTTTACCATTGGAAATACAACCTTCTGATATGTTCACGGATGAAAAAAAATATATATATATATTTCTTCAAAAATACTGCAAAGTATTAATTTTTATTTCTTCAGTCATTTTCATAAACGATAAGTCGGCCCGGCATGGCCAGGTGGATAAGGCGCTCGACTCGCAATCTGAGTGTCGCGGGTTTGAATCCCCGTCCCACCAAACATGCTCGCCCTTTCAGCCGTGGGGGCATTATAATGTCACAGTCAATCTCACTATTCATTGGTAAAAGAGTAGCCCAAGAGTTGGCGGTAGGTGGTGATGACTAGCTGCCTTCCCTCTAGTCTTACACTGCTAAAGTAGGGACGGCTAGTGCAGATAGCCCTCATGTAGCTTTGCACGAAATCCAAAAACAAACAAACGATCAGTCATATTCTCTAAAAGTTAAAAGTTTGTAAACCAGACTAAAAGGAAATGGAAGAACACATTACTACAATTAATAATTCCAATAAAACTATTGTTTTGTAAACATTTAAAACATCATTGGTTACTTTTTAAACTGGAATGATTTGTATTGGTATATTGAAGAACATGTGATTCAGAAAACAATCTTTGTTTATTAACACTGAATATAAACATACATATGTGTGTGTTAATAAATTAGCATAGCAACTATAACATAAAAAAAAACTGGAAAACGTAAACGGGTTTATATTAATAACTTGAAATACAAAAAATACTAAAACTCAACGTCAGTATTTAAGAATTTTCCTTTGAGCTTTTCTGGCTGCAGCCGTGAGAACCTGTGAAAAGTATTGAGAAGAGATGTTTTTAAATCTTGTATTCAAACGAGAAAAAAAACGTTTAGAAGAGTAGGCGGGTAATCATGTACGGGAGACCACAGAATCTTTAGCCACGAGAAAATACTATAATATATATGAACTATCCAGTTGAATATTGTACATAGATATGAATTGTCTTTCACTCTGTCAGCCAAAAATGATGCTTGTTTATATTAAATACTGCAATGTTTTAATAATTTTGAAGCTGTTTACATTTTACACGTGTGTTAAAGATTTGTTCACAAAAAAATGAGCACATTTGTCGCTAATAAGAATTTTAATTCAAGATACGATGTATAATTTATATATTTTTTATGAATTCGAAATATGTCATGATTTAAGTATTCACAAGAGTGCTTGTAGTGATTATATGTCCGTCTTACTTTTTTTTTAGCCGCCAAGTGGCACAGCGGTATGTCTGCGGACTTTACAACACTAGAATCCGGGTTTCGATACCCGTGGTGGGCAGAGCCCAGATAAGCCATTGTGTAGCTTTGTGCTTAACTTCAAACAATTCCTTTTTTAAAGCTGCTTATATTTTTATACACCCTTGATGTTTAAGATTTAAATTTTTTTGATATAATTTTTCTTATTCAGGTTCTGCTTTGAAAGGAAATAAATCTGAAATAATGGTTTTTTACTGTATCCTGAGTTTGAACATCGTAAAGACTGTTCCGGTGAAATGGATCTTAGAGAATCGGAGTGCATTAGAGCTACGTTTGTTTATATACATATAAGCACACACTAACGATCCACTAACAACGTGATTAGGTCCAACGTCCTTTAACATACTTACGCTCTGATACGTTTCCCCTTCCGGTACTGGAAATAAGGCTTCAAACTTTCTCGAACAAAATTTCGCTTCTTCTCGCACTTCAATGGTATCCTGGCAAAGACAGCACTAGAAATGCGTAAAACTAGTGTTAGTTGCTGAGAGATATATATATTGTTGTTGTTGTTTTTTGTGTGTGTGTGTGTGTATGAAAACATCAGATAATATTTTTTTGTTTTATTGTACTTACACTTAGCTAAAAACAAGCAGTGTAAGTCCACATATTTTTACACATTTATTTAAAAACTTCAATTCAATAATCTCATATTTGCTACGGGTGTACACAACAGACAGCCCATGTGGCTTTGCTCTAAAATAAACAAACAATACAATAACTTATTAATGCACTTTTAAAATTACAAGTGCTCTCAGAGAAAACGTAAATTATAGTAATTTGGCACTTGTGTATAAAGTTAAAATCATAAATAATATTCAACGTTAAACTGATACACAATTAAAAATATTTTATTTAGGCCTATCTAATTGTTGTATATATATTTTCTTCATTGTTAATAGTTATAGATGAGGAATATTTCACATAGGTGCTGCGCGAGTCATTTGTTTGGGTGGCTTTCCCTGTTACACATATATAATATTTTTGAGTTTGTGACGAGAATGTTTAATAAGTGACATTTTATTTGGGGGGGGCTGTTTGTTTGTCCACGACAAGTTTTCAAAGGGGCTTGCCGCTCGGGTGGTCAGAGATTATCTCTCTTCCCCCATTTGTGGAGGCTAAGCCTTCCCAAGTCTTTTACACGCGCCACTTATAATTTTTCACAAAAAAAGTATGTTTACAATCATAGAAGCTAGACTATGCAGTTTGTTATACATTTAATCCAATGGTTAAACCAGAGTGAGAGAAAAAATAAGAACAAACTACATGGAGAATAATAATATTTTAAATATCAGTTATAAAATCTTTGTGACGAGATTACCTAACTTTTTAAAAATATAACTATAACTTAATAACTGACACATCTAGAATGAAAAACTAACACACACACACATACATGTATTATAGGTAGAAATAAAATAGCCCCCCCAGTGGCACAGCGGTATGTCTGCGGACTTACAAGGCTAGAAACCGGGTTTCGATGCCTGTGGTGGGCAGAGCACAGATAGCCCATTGTGTAGCTTTGTGCTCAATTCCAAACAAACAAACAAACCAGTACTGTTTTATTATTATTGTCATTCAAACTTCCCAGTAGAAATGAATTAATTTATACCTTAAAAAGATCACTTTGACTTTTCTGTTAAACAGTATCCTAGGTTTAGGTTGAAGTGAACTTTTTTGCCATATGTATGGACATTCTTTGGAATGAGTAGAATAATACATAATGGAGTGTCAGTTACACGAACTTACCTTGTTGATAACATCTACCAAATGAGGGACATACAGGAGTGCAGATGGAGTAATATGCATGGTGCTTATTTGCTTCACGTAATCTTTGACTTTTTCTGTGTTTTCAGGCTTAGGTTTGGAACAGAAAACACGTAAATACATTGATTTAACACATAAGACTAAATTCGTCGTAGAAATGTATTTTATAACTTAGCAATGTGTTCTAAAAATCACATGAAATAAAGTAATAATAATAAATTATACGAACTTTCTTACCATTATGATCCTAATGTAATACGTTAATATTTTCGTGCAATATTTTATAAATAAAGATTCAATTTATACAAAGGATAGTGGAGTGTATTTACCAATACAAGTCTAATATGTGATGCATGATCGCCTCTCCCACTGGCTCAGTGGTAAGTCTAAAGGCCAATAACTCTTAATTAATAACCACACCACCGATAGCTCATTCTGTGGCTCTGTGCTTACCAACAACATACGACCTGCATATAACTTTAAATAACAACATCACCGATAGCTCTTTCTGTGCTTACCAACGACAAACGAAAGACATACGACCTGCATAAAACTCTAAATAACAAAATCACCGATAGCTCTTTCTGTGGCTCTGTGCTTACCAACAACAAACGAAAGACATACGACCTGCATATAACTCTAAATAACAACATCACCGATAGCTCTTTCTGTGCTTACCAACGACAAACGAAAGACATACGACCTGCATATAACTCTAAATAACAACATCACCGATAGCTCTTTCTGTGGCTCTGTGCAGTGGTATGCCCATTTTACACCCAAATAATTTGGAGTGTAGAAAAATATAAGCATCATCAATTAAATCATACCCAAAAAAATAGAGGAAGTACCTTATGAGGCTTCAATTTTTTCTGACAAGTTAGGTAACGTGAGAATGTTATACTTCAAAACTTGCTTAAGTTTATGCATGTATAGTGACCGTCCGCACCTGCGCAGTATTTGTATCATGTCTCTCCCCTACATACATACATTCAGAGTTCATAAATGGCCACGTGGTTAGGGCGCTCGACTCGCAATCTGAGGATCGCTGGTTCGAATCCCTGTCCCACCAAACATGCTCGCCGTTAAAGCCGTAGGGACGTTATAATGTGACGGTCAATCCCACTATTCGTTGGTAAAAGAATAGCCCAA